CAACAACCAGGACAACGCCTACTACGACGACCGCTAGGGTTACAACAACTGCCCCAACTAGTTTGTTTATCTTTTTTGCAACTTTTATATGTACGGCCGCCCCATTAACTGCAGCGGACGCAGGTCTAGTAGGACGATTTTTACGTTAACTTGCCTTTCTCACTTTCTTCGGCTCCTTGCTACTTTTCATTTCGCATTGCTTACTAATGGAAAAATCACTAAAGAAAATAGTTCTCTCTTCTTCTTTATTTTCACATATCATCAGCTTAATGGATCCTATACATTGAATGTAGAAAAGATATATATCAATAACAATAACAACAGCCTGACAGTAAAAGCGATCCAGCGGATGATCAAGGTACCTTATCTTAATGATGGAGAATAATGATATTGGAAAGTTAGAAATACTTTCATTTTGCAATATCTGTGATTGCATGCTCATTACACTACATGAACAAAACTCTGTAGTTCCACAACCAAGATAAGCTCTGAGGCAAATATTCAAAGTTATATGTGCATGCTTTTTGAACTGTCTGATTATAAACACTTGACTGCGCTAGGAAAGCAACTTTTAGAAAAATTCACTTAAGAAACCATGCTTAAATTCAGTTTGATTGTGAAACGCTTGAAAATGCGGATGTCTGTCTGTTAAAATTTTGACTGGAAAGTCAAGTTGAGCGAAAATGTGCTACTATAAGTTGAAAGCAAAGATTTCGGATAAAGCACTTCGTATCACTTAAGTTAGAGAGAAAATGTTTAAAAAATTATTTTGCAGGCGGCCCCCGTAAAATGTGAGGTTGAGAATATTTAATATTAAGATCATTATACCCCAATAAAGTTAGAGGCACAAAAGTGAGATTTCTGAAGCAATTTCTTGACTTTTTCCTGTTCTTCTCCCATTATAGTAAGTCTTTTACATTTACCATATACGCTCAAATTCTTCAATGAAACAACTTCTCAATCGGCAAAAAATTAACTTATAGTTCCTTCACACCTCAACTGCAATGATG